ACCAAATGAGTTAAGGCCTCAGGCCTGACACATTCCTAGATTATATGTGTTATATGTATTGTAAGCATGCATGCAATCATCCTTCTATGTTCTACTTTCCCTCAGCATGTATCACCTGGACAGTCACGCCAGTGAAGCTTAAGACCCTTAATGAACCAAACATCAACTCAAAATAAGCAAATATGCAATGTGTATGAAATACTTCTGACCGTACTTGTAATAAAAGTTAACATCATGGAAGGATCCTCAAATGAACATCTTCACTAAACAACTATAATGCAATATCAATACTGTGAGAAATATTATTAGATGAAATAATGCTGTAAAGAATGTTATTAATGCAGTTATAATGATGCAGATTATATGGCAGCAATAAAATAATTTCTGTATCTCCACACTGTGGAGAGCAGAGCAGCGGCGTAAAGGACGTCCTCGCCGTACCTGGGACCATCAGGTCCTCCAGAAGCGTGAGCAGTTTGGTGAGTTTCACCATTTATTCCCGGAGCTGCGCCAGGATGACGGCCGCTTTCAGCGGTACCACCGTCTTTCCCTCGCCCAGTTTGAGGATCTGCTGTCCCGCATTGGTCCAAGCGTCGCCCGCCTAGACACCAACTACAGGCGCTCAATCCCACCTGCAGAGCTTCAGAGTGTTTTATACGGTAGTCCTTTATTGATACCAGCTACCTGATATATTCTCATTTGAAGTCACAGCGACTTCACCACAACGACTCTTTTAAGAGCCACCCATAAACCTCTAAAGAGTGTTCCTGCCTTTTTAAAATGTTCTTAATAAATGGAGCTTGCCTCCAAAATAAACTAACCTCTCTTTATTCTCTTAAATAACTGGTCTTCACTATGTTCCTATATAGTAGTATATTTTTTCTTTAGTATACTATGAAATAAATTCCACATGTGTCAAGTTGTCTGTCAAGTTTGCTGTGTAGTAGAACCGAGACATTAGTCATTACAAAAATTTATTTGAAATAATATTACAATTCTCGGTAGAGAAAGCAGCTGATGTCGTACAGCTCCGGGTGGTTGGCTACGGCGTTGATGAGCCTTTCCTCCATATTGAATGAAGAATGAATGGCTTTGGTTGGACCTGCCCCTTCAAACTAGGTCAGAGAATCACGTCACCAGGTTCCTGATTGGTTGTCGCGGCGCGACTTGACACTGCAGTTCAGATCTTTCCAATTCGAGCGCGATACGCGTGAATGCACCACACAAACTGCCGCGCATATTTTTTTATTCGCGCTTCAAACGCGTCAGTCGCTTTTTCGCAACGCAAATCTGCTTCTGAATTTCGCGGGACCCAAAGTCGCGCTTCATCACGCTCCTCCATTGACTTTACATGTATACCTGACGTTCTGGTCATGTCTATTGCGTTAGGTGTGAACTTAGTTTTGTTTTAGCAATATTGTTGATACAGTTATGTGGTTTTAATAAACTTTATTGGAACCATCACTGCAGAAATGTGTGTTCTGAATGTCTATGAAAGACTGATAAAATGTTGGCATACAATGTGACAGACCAGCACAACAGAACAGAATTACAGGAAAACATAAAAATAAACAGAGTCAGTTTCACACAGATCATCACTTTTGCCTGTATATGGCCGAGATTTAACATGTAGGGAAGGAAGGAAGTAATTGTAATACAAAGAAAACATGAGTTGTCATCAAAGACTCGGGATGACGAACTGCAAAATCAATAAAAACCTCAGAGGAGACAAAGGGACTGGAAGAAAAGTATATAGAGAGATCATGAATAGAAGAGCAGTTACCAGTTTGCCAGAATCCATCGTCTCCTTCAGCCTCTTGCCGAGCTCGGAGCCTGAAGCCACCATGGCCCTCAGCATGTCTCCAGTCGCCAGGTGGCAAACGCAGTATTTATCTGCTAGCCGAGGGGCCTGCAGTGGAGAGAAAGTGTTTTTTAATATGGAACTATTATTCATCACTACCAAACACCAACTGAAGGAAATATTTGGCTGTTGACCTAAACACTGATGAACAAATACTTCCTGCACCACTGACAAATAAAACCATGATGTAGGTTTCTGAGCATAAGGCTCTGAAAAGAAAGTTTTCAGCACCACAGACTGATCTGTGGAGCTCTCGACCTTCTAGACAGTGTAGCTTTCACTTTTTCAACTCATCTGAGGATTAAAGATTAGAAGACTTTCTTTTTATATGTTGCGACTAATGAAGCCAAAGGTTATAATTTATATAAGCTCATTAAAATCATAAGAGAGTGAAGTTCCTTAACCAACAAAGGTGTGCTTAACTCATTTAGACAAGGCCTCAACTGCAGTAGAGCATATGCTGCATGGATGCCAGCAATGTCCAATACTTCAACATCTCCAGCTAACAATTATTTTCACCACTGACCGATTCATACTATTGATTATTCATTTAGTAAAAATTGATAATTTAGGGAATCTTGACATATCCTGAAGAAAAAAAAATTAAATGTTTAAATGAGCCAGAACCAACTACTATCATTCCTGCTTGTGCACAACATAATTAATCATTTTCCTTTTTATTTTCACACACCTACACATAACACTGTGTTTTAACTCTGTGTTGTTGCTGTTTTTTAAATTGCCTTAATGCACTGCAAACCTTTAATCTCTTTTGGTAAGCACACTGAGTGTACATGTAACAAAACGTGTTATAGAAATAAAATTGACGCTGAAGCTTTATTTAAAACACTCGATCGCTCCAATATCGGAGATACTAAAACGGGGTTTGCAACAGAGTGCTTTTGGGTAAACAAAGCACTCAAAACAAATGACAACACTAAACAAATCAGAGCGCAAACACATGGATCTATTCTGACAGCACGTGTCTGTGCTATCAGACACGTCCATGTGCCTGATCAGAGAGGACTGCACAGTGAACCGCAGGACACAACGAACATCTGGGTTTCAGTGCTCTACACAGCTGCAACAGGAATTCTACCGAGTTATGTAACTGCGACACTGGAGCCTTACATGCCAATGAAATGCTGAAGAAATTCCAGTTTTGCACAATACAATTCTAAGAAAAACCCACTGATATGCAACTGGTCTTCTCAGACTTCCATCTGAGTTTTCTCGACACTAGTATTTCTGTATCACTGCTGCAGCTCTGGTTGCAGGCTCCTGGGAGGTTTCTCAAGTACTGAATGTTGGCTATTGTTTCTAATTTACAACTGATGTATTTATATGTAAAAATGACTTAGTAAAATCTGAAAAAATTAGAAATGGAGTACTATTCTGAACGATAAAGTTAAAAAAAAAAAAAAAGTGACTGTCTTACCTGGTAAATATTTTTATTGATAATTTAGTTAAGGAATACGAAACTAAATGATTTATTTTCACCACAATTTTACAACAATAAATACAGTCAAAAGAAAATATTC